AGGTTTTCCAAGGCAGCAATTAAAAGCCCACGGATTCCAGCAAAGAGCAGCAAAGAGGATGCCAAACGGCATCATTAATTCCACGGTTTCCAGCATCAGAGAATGCCAAAGGTTAGAGCCTATTTCAATATACCAAGGCAGCTTTTTAAAAGGAAATAAAAGCTACGGTTTCCAACATCAGAGAATGCCAAAGGTTAAAGCCATTTCATTATACCAAGGCAGCTTTTCAAGAGATAAAGAAGACGAGGAAGAGACAAGTTTCACTCACCTAAGAGCTTGCACCTCATAAAGAATTTTCAGAGCTAAACATCAGCTCATAATGAGCTACTCCTCCACATGATAATAATGAGCTTGCACCACTACATTTTTCAACAACTAAAGCTCAAAAACCGAAATTAGCCAAGGCTCCATAGAACTAGAAAACAACCCAAAGGATAAGGTGGAGATGAAAGGACAAGTTAATGAAGAGCAAGGAGAGGGGGAAGATGAAAAGACACAAGGAAAGAAATTAAAATAAGTTGACCCAATCCTTGCCTACATCACCCTTTCAGGCGGGACAATAAATTCAGAGGTCGGGCAGGCTATACCTCTTATGAGGTGTAGTTTGTAAGCCCCTTTGCACTCGTTAGATTTAGGTTCGAGGCACTACCTATCGGTAGTCCTCACCTTAGTCTTAGGGTCCGAGGCATGGGTTGATTCCAAATCACCCTATAAGCCCTCATCTTTCGGGCAATTTTTACAACATATGTTGAAGGAATGTAAGCCCCAACATTCTAATAAAAATATTAATTTAAACCAAAATTAGATTGTTAAAATGTAAAGCCCAATATAGGATAGTTTGAGCACCTCTGAGTGTCTCTCAGAATCAAGTGCTCCTACCTCACCTTCCCTTGGACTTCACTCCAAAAATCTGATTCTAAGTTGATCAATTCCTCCTTGAAATTCCTAAAGGGCCAAAACTTTTAAGCAAGACTTTCATGGATTTCAAAAATCAAATCTTAGCCAATGTCTAAAATGACTTCCAATAAAGCAAAACCACTAGTTTAATCAAAAGTTTTCCCAAATCAAAAATTGGGATGTAATTAACCATAGGGGCTTGTCCCTATGGGATGTCTGTACCCCAGAAATAAATAAACCCCGCTCGACCAAACATTGAATAGGGGAATCTCTGTTAATAATTGTAAACTTTATTATTGAGTCCATAAGGAAATGGTATTTTTACCCTTCGGGGTAATATATCATATTCTTCTTCCATACTCGATGATAAAATATGCAATCCATTTGAGGATACAAAAATTCTCCAACAGCTCGTAGGAGATTTTTGTTCAATAGACATTTGGAGATCTGCTCTTGCTTTTAAGTAAATTACATTGTTCATTACAAGTCTCCTATTGTCTCTTATAAGCTTATTATGAATTCCTTGCTGTTGCTCACAGGTGAATTTTGGCATTCACTATTGTTTCCCATAGGAGGATTGCTGTGCAATGAAGTCTTCTACTGTTGCCCGTCGGCAAGCTGTTGTGTTCACTCTAAGTCTATTGTTATTTTCCCTTAGCGAATTAATACATTCATTAGATGATTCCCGCTATTATCCATAGACAAGCAGGTTTGCTTGATACGAGCTCCTTATTCTTGCCTGTAGGCTAGTCGTTGTATACAATATGAATTTCCTGCTTCTGGTCATAGGTGAATTGTAGTGTGCATTAAAGAATTTTCCTGCTAGTAGGCAAGCTGCTTTATTTAGTAGAGGTCCTTGTATTTTTTTGTAGGTGAGTTGATATTTTCATTACAAGTTCACGGTTCTCGCCTGTCGGCGAATCATCACATTGCAAGTCCCTTGCTCGTGCATGTAGACTGACTGATTTAAGTATTATAAGTTTTCTGTTGTTACACATATGCAAGCTGTAGTATCCTTTAAACGTCTCGTGCTATTTCTTATATAAAGGCTACTGTGTCCTCTACAATTTTGCTAATACTACATGTAGGCAAGTCGCTATGCATATTGAAATTTTTGTTCACCACGAGTCCCTTGCTCATTCCCGTAGTGGCCTATACCATTTGTTATAAGTCCCCTGCTCAAGTCCAGAAGCGGACTATATTCACTGAAATATCCTTATACACGCCCGTAAATGAATTGCCACAGTCATTGTATGTTCCTTGTAGACGGACTATTGTACACATTACAAGTCCCTTTCTCGTGAGTGAACTATCATATTCATTATGGGTCCCTGTTAACGCTCGTTGACTAGCTGATATATTCATTACAGGTTCCCTGCTTATTCATTTACATTCAATTTGCATTAAGTTATATTGTTATGTTGCAAATTTTCATTTAATTGCATTTTCACTTCAAATATTCATTTAGGTTTGGTTCTCTAGAAATTTGTTTAGTATGAATTTCATTGTATTTTTCATTGTGCTGTTCATCTAAATTTCTAACTCCACTAATAGTTCAGATGAAAATTTTGGAAGCCTCCCGGCATCTCCTCCCCCATTTAGGAGAAATTTTGGGGAGTCTAGGTATGCCCACCACACCAATAAAAGCGTGCACGGTCGGTGTTAGGTGACACCGAAGCCGTGATCTTTCAATCTCTCCATACCAAAAAAGGCGTGCATGGGTATTTGCATGGAAGCTTGCAAATTTCCCACTGGCACATGAGTGCTTAATTTTACCTGCTGTGCTAAGAAAAGCACGCACAGGGGTTATCCGATTCGTCACAAGTGTCGCATTGAGTTTCCTTCCATCGTGCTAAGAAAAACGTGATAGGAGGTCTACTTATTGCACCGCAAGCATTGATGACAAGATATGAGGTTTAGAATTTAGAGCGTTATACCTTTGCCACGAGCGAAACGACGATGGCATATCAAGAGCACGAGGGATCAAAACACAACAATACTCTTTTTTTTTTTTAAATCTCTTTTTCTATTTTTTAAACTGCTAATAATAGATAATAATTCTAACAATAGAGAGAAATAGGTTCTCTATTTAGAGCAAACGTGAGAGAATAGGGCTATTTTGATGGGATAGAAAGAAATAGAGTATTACACACCCTCTGTTAAGGAGTGATTGAAGAGACAAGGCTGGTTTGTGAGGAGATTGGTTTACTGTAGGCTGGGAACAAGCTAAATTTATCCTTTAATGAAGTTGAGGGAGGGTAGGTCATGATATGTAGAGAAGGAAAGGATTGGCTGTTTGCGTGAGCTACTGATGTGCGATTAATTTGGGTAGAGGAGGGGTAGGTGTTGGCTGTAGTGGTGTTGACGGAGAGGCTGATTTTGGAAGCAACTGCAGTGAATGTCCAGCTATTAGGAGCAGGTTGGGAGAGGGAATGAGGAAGAGTGAAGTCTATAGCTTGGAGCTTGTGAGTAGACAAGTAGGCGGCTAAGAGATCTTAACGTGGACTTGCTGGAAGGAGTAGTTTGAGGCGGTTTGGTGAGGAGGCAGTAGTTGGTTGAAGTGGAACTGGTGGAAGTTAGGCTAATAGAAGTGGAGGAGGTTTAGTGGGGATGGGCTTGGGGTTTGGTTGTCGGAGGAGTTCCACGATAGAAGGTGACGTTCATGTGAGTGGAAGGAAAAGTGCTTGCATGACAAGGGATGTTCAGCCTAGACGGGTATTATTGGAGGGCTGCTGTTTGGTTGTGTTGGATGGGATGTGGGAACAGAGGGAGACAGACTGCTATTTAGTGGTTGGAGAAGAGCAAGGTAGGGGGCTGCTTGGTGCAACTACAGCATATCGGGAGACCTGCTATTGAGATCGGCTGGAACAGGGAGGCGGAGAGGAAGGCTTGGGCTTGCTGTAGCTGCTTGGCCGAGAGGCTGGTATGGGTGTGGTCAAACTAAGCTGCTGGGGGGTTGTTGCGTGAATGGCTGGAGTGTGGAGGAGGTGGAGTTCGAATGGAGGCGGCTGGGTATGATGTCCGACACACAAAGAACGATGAGATGGGAGAGGAGCCGTGATGGCTTGCTGTTGTGAGGAATTGGGAGAGGAGTTCCTTGCACAAGCAGGTGAGTGTGAGTGAATAGAGAGGAATTGGGGAATAGGAGACGACAACAACAATAACAACAACAACAAAAAGCTTTTATCCCAATATGTGAGGTCAGCTACATGAATCCTTTTTCGCCAATGTGTCACGTTAAAAGTCAAATTCTCATTTAAATCTAATAAAGAAAGATCATTTCTAATATTTTCTACCAAGTCTTTTTAGGTTTACCTCTACCTTTCTTAACATAAGTCAAATATAATACCTCAACTTTCCTAAACAGGTCATTGGAAGGCCTCTATTTAATGTGACCAAACCATATAAGGCAACTCTCTTTAATCTTATCTTCCACTGGAGCAACTCCAAGCTTTTCACGTATATGCTCATTTCGTATCATATCTCTAAGGGTAATGTAAAACCCGCAAAAATGTCGTTTTAGGCTTCACACGCTTTTCGATGCGTCGCGACGAGTTTTAAGTGAAAATTTGAAAGTCGTCGGAATTTGATGCAATAAATTTTATAAATTAGAGCGCAAAATTCTGAGCGAAATGATGTATAGAACCTATATCGGATTTTAAGTATTTTGGGAGTTAAAATTCTCTGAAAGTTCTTAATGACAACTTTGCCCTTGATGCCATTTGAATAGAGAAGATTTTTAAGTAAGGGCTTTGAGGTCATTATGTTTTTAATATGAGGATCCCACTCTTATTAGGGGACCGAAATGTTTCGGTCCGCATTCCATCCTTGTGATTGAACCGCGCGAAGAAGGAGAAGGGAGAGCGGGTAGGAGCGACGACAGGAAGCTTCGGGCAGCGGTTTTCGGTGCACGTTCGTGGAGGAAATTGTAGAGAAAACTAAGGGAAGGCTAAGGTAAGATGTTTGCTTGAGTTTTTTCTTCTTTTCCTTGAGTTTTCTCTAAGGGAAGAAAATTAGGGTTTTGAGGAAAACTTAATATTTCTTTGAGATAAGTTTAGGGAAGGGTTAAGGGATGTTTTTAAACCTAAGAATGAGTTGTTTTCATGAAAAATGCGGATTTTGAAATTTAGGGTTTTATCCGATTTTGATTTTATTTTAAAATATCTTTGTAGGAAAGTTTCTAATTGAGGTTAGGAAGCCTTTTTGTGAAGCTAAATTCTTTTTATGAGACATCTTGAATGCTCTAATAGTTAGGGTTTTCCAAATCATGAAAAA